TTTCGCAAGTAAGAATCGGTGGTTAACAGAGTCGAAGACCTTGCTAAAGTCGATGTAACATAATTCAACTGAGATTCCATCAGTAACACAGATAGTTAGTTCATCTAAGAAACACAAAGATTATCAAGGCATGATTTCTTCTTAACAAAACCATGGTGATCGGCTCCAATTAGGTCGGGATTAAATAAGCTTTTCCAAGAATTTGAGCAAATCGCTGGCTAGGCTTACAGGCCTGTAATTGACGAGTAAGGTTTTGAAATCTTTATGTACGGCTACAACAGTTGCCTCCTTTCATTCGTGTGGCAGCCTACCTTTATACAGTGATTTATTGAACATCTCCAAGACAGGGCATTGGAATACGTCAGCCAGCGGTTTGACAATGGCAGGACGTACACCGTCAGGTCCAGCTGACTTGTGGGTCTAAATCAGCCAGTACCCAGAGGGCTTCCGCAGCAGCAAACGGAGTATCCGGCATTGTACTATTGAATAAATGAAAGTGAGAGTATAGGAAGCCCATCGTCTGTACGATGCACTTTCTGTAAAACGCGCAGACACAGCTGCTTTGGCCACATCCTCTGTGGCGTGACTATCGTCATCGGCCAGTAAAGTACTAACTACCCGCCCTAAAGAAGGCTTGGAGTGAACATAACCATAGTACAGCTACGGTGTTGGTTTTACATTTTAGACCAGGCTGACTTCATAGCAATACCTCGCCTGTCGCTGCATCTTTATTGCTGCATTGCGACATTTCTTGTATTGCAACCAACGGGCAAATTCTCTTGAAACCTCTTCCAAAAAACGTTGCGCTTCTATATCGCACGATCGATTCTGCGGCGCTAACATCTAGGTTGAGGTGGTAAACAGAGTCGAAGACCTTGCTAAAGTCGATGTAACATAATTCAACTGAGATTCCATCAGTAATACAGATAGTTAGTTCATCTAAGAAACACAAAGACTATCAAGGCATGATTTCTTCTTAACAAAACCATGCTGCTCGGCTCCAATTAGGCCGTGATTAAATAAGCTTTTCCAAGAATTTGAGTAAATCACTGGCTAGACTTACAGGCCTGTAATTGACGAGTAAGGTTTTGAAATCTTTATGTACGGCTACAACAGTTGCCTCCTTTCATTCGTGTGGTAGCCTACCTTTATGTAGTGATATATTGAACATCTCCAAGACAGGGCACTGGAATGTCATCCAGCGGTTTGACAGTGGCAGGATGCACACCGTCAGGTCCAGCTGACTTGTGGGTCTAAATCAGCCAGTACCCAGAAGACTTCCGCAGCAGCAAACGGAGTATCCGGCATTGTACTATTGAATAAGTGAAAGTGAGAGTATAGGAAGCCCATCGTCCGTACAATGCACTTTATGAAAAACGCGCAGACACAGCTGTTTTGGCTACATCCTCGGTGGCGTGATTATGGTCATCGGCCAGTAAAGTACTAACTACCCGCCCTAAAGAAGGCTTGGAGTGAACATAACCATAGTACAGCCTCGGTGTTGCTTTTACATATTAGACCAATCTGATTTCATAGCAATACCTCGCCTGTCGCTGCATTGCGACATTACTTATATTGCAACCAACGGGCAAATTCTCGAAACCTCTTCCAAGAAACGTTGCGCTTTTATATAGCCACCATCTAGGTTTACCAGAGTGCTTCCTGGGGCGCAGCGAGGCGAACTCGTTGGTCATATCCTCGACAGTTTGAGCACATCTATTTGCTGAGATGAGTGAAGAACACCACGCTACACATTACGGTGGCTGTTTACACAGTAGCTTGTTCTTAGCACAAAATTTTTCCGCTGGGCTCTACTGGTGTACTGATTTGTTCTCACGGACAAATGTGGTAAAGTGGTTGCGATGCACTACATAACTGCTCCAGTTGTCAGGACTAGGGTTCGCACTGCACAAATGCCACGCTGCTTCTCTTACTATCATACGTTTTCGAGTTCTGCTCGAATTGAATGAGTGTGCTCTTACAGAACGAAAAGGCCCGTTTATGATGTAGACCGGGAAACTTCATCCAAGCATTATCAATAGAACAGTGGTGCAAAAACTCCCAGATGGCATCTCCAGCAAGTGCTGTTAGCATATCGTAGTATATGATAGTTCGAAACAAGGCATTATGTTCTTGTGGATATACTGCCTAACACCTTATCGAAAAAATATTGTTACGTGATCACCAACCAATAAAGCTCTCCATCTATAAGTTTTCGATCATGAGCCCTAAATCTAGCACTTACGGTTTATTTTCCGCTGTGAATCAGGTGAGCGAACTGACATAGTCGAAGAGCAGGATGTTTGAAAAAGCCCCTTGCAGGTCGGTGTTAAGTTGCTCGTTGGGGGATGCCGAAACTTCCAGATGGTGAACATAAAGTCCCTTTAGACGAGAACATGATTGCATCGTCGTCGCATGATTCTTCCCAAGGCTAATGTCAGACGGCAGTTTAACTCTGGGGTGGACATTAGGGAACGCTAAAGGACTGCCACAAGGCGTGTAGTTGCGTCGCAGCCGCAGACAGGTACAGAGTGAGTCTATGATCGAGGTTTGCGGATCTTCCACAGGTTCACACATCAGGTGGTTGCGGTGGTATAAATTACCCTACCGCCGTCGCTGGGGCGAACTTTTCGAATAAGGGAAATACCAACTTTCGCGACTTCGCCGTCAGTAATTTCCGCTTGCAACCAAGTTTCAGTTACGAATATGAGGTTCAAGGTAACTGATGCTTGACGTATCCGCAGTTCGGCAAGTTTGTTCAGAAGACATTGTGAAGGAAAGTTCCTTTGCTTTTAGCACTAAGTCAGTGGCTGTGTGTTATGGGTGCAGTGTTATACCGACTGGTGAAAGGTTGGACAATAATTGTTTTTCGGGTGGGACGTACTCAACTGTGTTCGATTCAGGGATCTCCCCATTACCTCTTTCGCCCTCCTTTGTATGTAATGTAAGAGGTGTGTTTGCCGCATTCGTTGGCTAGCTGAGTTAAGTTATCCGAACAGTTGTGGCGAAGCGGTCCGACTAAGTGGCCTCTCTCGTGTGTTTGGTTAGGGGACATTGCTTTGATGCGGTTCTCGGAAGGAATACGGCTGCGGCCCCAATGCCAGCACTCCAAGACCTTTGTTGACATGTCAGGACCAAAGCAGCAGTTTAATTATCCTCGGGCTACATCGATTGTAATTTGGTGATATGTGCAGCCGCGAGACTGACTGCGCCATGACGTTTTCCAAGGACAGGGTCTCTCAAAGGTAGCGAAACTGTTCTTCATCGTGAGTAACCACTTAGCGCTCATCATGACCTCTAGCCTCGGGGACACCGTGTACAAAGATGATCCTGAATATGGATTCCCTCCGGTATTCTTCCAAGTCATGCTTCGCCTGTTTGCGCTCGCCCCATGGCATATCCGGGAAGATGCGGATGGGTTATGACTCATTCCGGAGGCAAGCCCCCGATAACATGACAACTACTGATTCACCAACGGAAGTCAAAATAACTCGGAACTCTCGGTTCACAGTAGTGCTGTTTGCGTGACAAGTGACGCTTGACGGACAACACCTAGGATGTCGCACATGAAAATCCACTGGTTCATATCATGCGGTGATTTTCCTTTTAAGGAATTTGACGTTGATTCTGGAAAGTTTGTGCAGATTACCGATGGGGCACTACGTGCAGCCCGCGTTGTCACCAGCTCAGCTAGTTTGCATACTGGTGGAGGCTGTGTAGGTGCAGCTTCATCCACCTAATTTAATTTGGGCCCAGTGTGGGTATCTGAAGGTCTAAGTTTCCGGCTGACTTTGGCAACAACCATGCTCCAACGACTACTAATGTCGACGTCGTTCTGAAAATTCCGAACAGTTTGAGGAGTGGACGAGTTCTCGGCAGTACTTATTCCAATCGGAATGGCGAGTTGTTTCAGGCGTATGGGGACAACTGGTGGTATTGAGGTTTAAAGCCAAAAGCGTCGCACTTCTAACGGGCCGCCCAGCCTTCTTCCTCAGATTTGAAGCAAAGCCTAATGGTAATGACTTGGGTTTGCTCTGTCACGCTTCATTTAAGTGAACCGATTTTGCTGTGCTTCATTTATCCAATCATTTCCACCAGTCTTCCGAGTTTCTGCGGTAGTTCATGTACAATCTTTATCAGTGGGATGACCATACATACTGCACAGAACTATAGAGAATCTGGTCAACTATTTTGTATCTTCAACTGATTTACAGTGAGTTTAGAGCACTTAGAATTAAACTTGCGTAGGCATAGTTCCAATGCCGTATTGACTACTGTCACAATGAATCTCGAATGGAAGAGGCGGATCAAAATAGACAAGAATAAGCGCTTGAGTAATTATTTCCTTGATCTTCCGGAAGGCATTTTCTTGTTCAGAGCCCCAGTGCCAGGTTTTACTCTTATGGGTCAACCTTTGAATCGGCATAATGGTTGATGAAACGTGGCTCCCATCCACATGCCTCAAGGTCTTATTCCTTCGGATTTACACTAGATATGGGGTGCGTGGTGCAGCGCAAGCCAACCACGGACCCTCTGTAGGCGCACACATCCTGTGGCTGTCCTATGGAAACCACGGTGACAGGCAAATCTGGAGCCGGATGCCGCCAATCATGTATAGAACCTGTGGAACCGAACGGACATTACACGCCGGTAAGCTGCATTTTGATAAGTCCTGGCTTCATGACAACACACTACGATTAGCGGATGCTCTGGCTTGCTAATTATCTATGCGCATTACAGAAAACATGTATCGGAATGTGGTTGGGTCCCCTGTTAATAATACTAGTCGTCTCCTAGAAACTCACAATGACCAGACTATCTTATTTCAAGTAAAGTGGGAGATGCGGGATGCATGTCGATTGCAATACTGAGCTCAAACGCGGTGGAATTCACCAGAATTTGAAACAAAAATAAACAAATAAAAGGTACAAAATGATAGGCCCTACAGTTGTGCGAAACACACGGGGAAAGATGGAAGAACGAGCGATTTTTAATAAAATTCAGTTCGAGTTGCCTAATCCGATTTCATTGAGAATCGCTACACGTTGGGCCTTTTTATCAAAGCTGTCCAGATTGTACATTCGCAACATTTCTTCTCGGAGTTGTTCGGAAGCCTGCGCAAGACATCGTGACTATAAAAGATGAGAACGAAAAATGCGGTGATTGTAAGTAAGCATATCGTGTCAGCAAAAAGCAGAAGAATGACACAAAACACGAAATGATCATACATATGAATGGAGGCAATCAATGTATGGTGGATGAAACCTTAGCGGCGAGAAAGAGGGCATTAGAAACAGCACAAATATTAATAAATGTTACGGTTTGTTGATTACGTTAATTTTAGAAAAAAAGATGAATGAACACAGCCATCGACTCCGGATAAAAAACTAACAGTAAGTTCTGGATGAAAGCGATTGAAAAACGCTGCTGTTTCCTGGAACTCGTCGACCGCAATGAAAGCCCTCAAGGCGAAAGTTAACTGCTGGGGATCGAATGCACATTATCACTCGCCGTCTCTGTAGCTGCTATTCTCTTGAGCAGTAACCATTGTGATGATGCAAGCAGAGTGGATCAAGGCGACCGGAGATGTAGTTGGCGCGATCAGTACTCAGTTTAATTGAGAACGGAGACGAAGGAGGGAAGTTCCGTATGAAAAGTGCACAATAGGAACGATAAGTGATAAAACTAACCAGACAAGCCATGGGCATTTGGCGCATAGGAGTGAAATAAGACTTCTATGTTAATAACGCATATGGCCCAAATTGTGGTGACGGCCAGACAATTATGCATGGGACCTAAATGCTGGGTAACAGAAACACGATATGGCTGACCAATGGGTAATTTCTCATGAGGGCAGACATGAGGAGAACCTGATACTTTCCGCGTAGGCGGCTGAGCTCAACACGTATCAGACGATCTACCGTTACGAATGTTCATACGATATGCGAGTGGTAATTTGCAAGCATCGGCGGTGAAACAGAGTCACTTTATCAAAATTCCAAGGAAGTAGTCATGCACTAAGACATACAGTAGTACCAATTGAATGGTGGCGCGGTATTTTCGTTTCTTAACCCATAAAAATATATGCCGCCGTCTCTCTAAGCGTCGGAAACGCGGGATAGCCGAACAAGTTTAGTAATATGAGTGGTAATCCATTTGGGTGATCAATCAAACATATGTTTAGGGAGTTCCAAGAAAGGTGACATATCAGCGAGATCTTTAAGACTTGCCACTAGGTATGCGATTTGGAACAATGAATTTCGCACGGATACAAAAGAAAATGCTTAACAGTTTTCTGTAGTTAAAAAGTGAGAAACAAAGAAAAAAGCGTAGCAGTGGACTTACCGCAAAGTTCAGTTGTACACGTTATTTATTTATTGTATTTAGTTTTTTACTTTTCACATTGTTTGGTTACGTCATTGCGTGTCTCAGTAACTGGGGTCAAGTCATCTAATGGAAGCGGTGTAATACATTATGAAGTCGAGTTTTGAATTCGGACAACGTAAGAGCGGATGTGACAGAATGCGGAAGCAAGTTCCACGGCTGGGATAAACGAAATGAAAAGAAGTTCCGGCGGCATTCCAACTGGCTAAACTGTATTGCCAACCTCAAATGGTGGGTCCTCAGTGAGGTGTTGTGGATAAGTTTCAAAAAGGGTCGGCATGGGTGGTTAGAGCCCTTGAGGATCAGATACACAAATGTGAGATTACTTCGCAGAAGACGATTATCGTTCATTAAAAGGCCCTAGAGTCTTTAGCCTCATCTAGTAAGGGAGATGGAGAAATCCCTTAACAGATTTTATCACCGTCCATTGTGGCATCCCAAGAGCAGAGAAATCATGTTTTTTGCCAAGAGTGCCACACCTGAATGGCGTGTTCAATGTGTGGTCTCACATAAGCGTTTCGCATTTGCGAAAAGAAGGTAGGATCGAACCTTCTAGACGCCTTCCGTCGTAGGCCTAAGCGTCAGCTTGCTTGTTTGCTTGTTATCATCCCAGCATGCTCTGAACATACGAGATCGTCCTGCACAAGCATCCGAAGATCACTTTCATGAGAAGCGCACTTCATGAAGTGTACTTCCAGTCAATTTTGGTAGGTGCTCTGGTGGCGCATGTTTATTATTTTGCAATTGGCAGAGTTAAACTCAAGCATGTTCTGAGTGCACAACTTGTAAGCGCAATCGAGATCCCCTTGCAATGCTATGCGGTCGTCCACTCGTTTGATTACAAGTCAAATCTTGTGGTCGTCCACAAAGAGTAGAAGGTTCGACATCAAAAAATTCCGCAAGAGCGTTTATGAACACGACGAATAAGCGTGGTTCTAGGACCGAGCCTTGAGGGACGGCCACAATAAAGCTCTATCGGGTCGAACAAGATGCTACGAATCCGCATATTGAAGCGTCGTTGGAGTAGGAATGAATGAATCCAGCTCAGGACGGGGTTACAGATCCCGTAACTCCGAGGTTTATGAAGAGTCTGGTGATCAAGGCGAGCAAACGCCTTCGAAAAATCAAGTTAAGCTCCAAATCCCATTCTAAATCAAAGTTAACACTTGGGGAAATAGCGTTTTGTAGAAGAAGCAACCGAAACGGAGACGAGTAGTGTGAAATAAACCAAAGTTAATAAGTCAACCAAGGAAGTAGCAGGTATCAGAACCGCTACGTCAGCTGTCCTTTTCCCTTAGCTCAGAGGTGTCCAAACTTTCTGCAAGGAAAGCTACATTTTGTGAGGTAAAAATATGTCCCGCCATATTCAGTCTGACAGTAAGATAACAAAATTTACACATGTACGAAAAAATTCCAAGCCTGAATTTATTATTCTATGATGAGGAGGCGGGCCAGTTGAAATATTAACGCGGGTCGCATATGGCCAGCGGGCCGGAGTTTGGACATCCCTGCCCTAGCTAATGAGAAGGTAGGTGCGCACGTCCTGTGAACGCGAGCGTTCCCCTGAGAAGACTTGATGTTTCAATTGTGCCCAGTTGGATCAACCTGTTTTCCCATTAAATTAGTGAGTTTTCCTGGGAGATTTTACTCCCACGGACAGTTCTGTAACCGTGCTTAGCGCTTACGAAGTGTGAAGGATGGACCGAAGTGTGCAGCGTTCGGCATCAGCTGGCTCAGCTGTACTTTCAAGCAGTTGGGTTGAAACAACAGGTCAACTGCGCGTACTCTGAGATGGACAGTGGTCAAGTAGCAGGAAGTAGTGGGAGTAGACAGGAAAGAGTAAGTAACAATCAGTTCGAGCACGAAGCCGAAAAGTGATAGACAGATACGACAGGACTGACACATTCCACTTGTCGTGTCGAACTCAGAGCAACGATTTTAATTTTATCCCCAATGAACCCCAGAAGTAGTTGTAAAGAAAGCATATAGAACGACGAATTTTTAGACAACTATAAAAAATTAGAGGTGGCCTCAACTATTTGCGTTCAACGAAGTCAAATACAAGAAAGTATGGTGAAGTTCGCTTACAAAAGACAATGAACAGAGGACAACCAGTATGAATAAAATCATACAAAGCTCCATCACAAGTTCACAGCGAATGAACACGAGGATGAAACAAGCGAACTCGAAGAGAATGGTGATTGACTTCATGTACAACTACGCCACCGTGTTAAAACGTTCACTAGTGACCAAAATGAAAGCCTCAGCCCTGGAATTTTCTCATTGAATTCGAGATTCGATTGGGCAAATGAACTGAAAATGCAACGCACGACCACCGTTGTCCGCAAGTTCCAGCGACAACCATGTCAGTGGACATGCAAACGGTGTCAAACTGACCACCAGTTGATGTGGCGTTCGCCGATCTGGGCAACTTGATTGCAAGCGGTTAGTCACCCAGCCGAGGTAATATCATCAATGCGTGGGAATAAGCGGTTTCGTAGCGGAGGCTACAGCGAGCAGTGCGGTAAAGTAAAGGGAAAGAGTGTGAGGCTTTTGAAGCACTTGCCAAACACAGCGCTATCGAAAACTGTATCGCTTGGTATTCATACACTAACGTAATAGCCAGTGAAGATCGACAATAGAACCATGGTAGACAGGACCTTTCCGCAAAAGGTTACAGATGCGCATACACTCGAAATGTTAGATTACTTAGTACACGCCGAATGCAAGAGAAAGCAACATCGATTCGCAACACAAGTATGAAAACAGTTGGTGGTCAATGACGGAACTGCATATCACCACATTTGGATAAGATAGTGGACAAACCTGCTGTATTTTAGCCTCTCGTTCTTCGAGTAATTTCTGTACATAGGAGTCTTTCTGTTTCTGTGCTGCTTCGGCCATTTTGCGCCACTCTTCTTGCTTTTGTTGCACTCTGAAACACAGTTGTCAATGAAAATAGGTAGTATTGGCAGTCTGCTTCAATTCTTTGGCAGATGTCAGGTGACACCAGCGTGCCCTCAACAATGATGTGTGTAGGCGAGTGCTATGCAATGATACCCACGCTACTTGCTTAGAACAACAGATAGCACTGAATAAGTTGCGTTGGTCTGGGCAAGTGCTATATATGCCCCGTCACCGCTTACCCAGGAGGGCCTTGTTCCGTCTGCCAGATGTAGGGTCGCACAAGGCATGAGGTGGGCCAAAGTTGACTTGGCAGAGAGAAATGAAACCACTGACGAGCAAATTCGGTGACGTTGATCTCGCGCGCCTCCATGCTGGAGTCCACATGACACCCCTCATGCTTGGCTCGAGACGTTACAGGACATAGCTTCCAGTCGGCCCTAGTAGTGTGTCTGCTGTCATCTTCTAGTCGGACTGTCAGTTTAAAGCGTTTTCGTTGCTGAGTTATCTGTGGGGTAATGGCTGATTAGGAAAAGAGGCATTAAAAGCCTCAAGGAAGTTGTCTTGTTGATGTCGCAGGGTAGATAGCTGTTTGTGACGGTATGCTGTTGAAAAGGTGTAGGCGCCTTAATTCTGAACGTTTGTTTAGAGTATTAAGGTTTCCCGGTAAGTCACTCTCTCTCAATATGTCGTTGGGGTCTTATGGCAGCTAAACATCAGATCAAATGGCTATTGATGATGATGGTGACGACGGTAAAACAGCCAGAAGTGAACAGTAGCGGGTGAGATGTCGACATTGATAGTGCATGGTAATGGATTATAAAGTCGGTATCCCAGTTAACCACGGTTATGTTCGTATTGTATAAGGTGGGTGGTTGTGTGCAACCTAACGTCACATGTAAAAGTTTGAAATATGAGTGAGAAAATATTGCAGACGTGTAATTAGTTTATGTGTAATTCACATGGTACACAATGTCACGTTTACTGTGCATGACGCTGTGCACAATCTGTCGGCGGACACTACGGAGGGAGGTAGCCCAGTTCCAGTGGACTAACTGCGCACACTCATGCTTAGCAGTTGACGCTGAGTGGTACTATTAAAGGAGATATGGTTTTATTGTGAATGATTACACCATATTTAAGCGCTATCATCCCGAGGGTCTTATAAGGAAAGTTGGTCCGCGTATGTGTCTGCTTCCGATCCACAGTTTCGAGCACCTACGCAACTTTAAATTGCCCAGGAACATGATAGGGAGAAACAGTGGTCGGCAGGCTGAGTGGTACATCTCATAGTCTTTGTGGCCGGGATGTTACGTAATGCTTTGTTCGGAGGATGGTGGTTAATTAATCAGCGTATGATTGACTGGAACAATTTTGACAAGATCCGTTGCTTCGGACTCGTTAAGTTGTTAGAGTTCGGTACACGACCGAAGGCTCACAAATTCCACAGACAACTGATCAGTGACTCCGCACCAAGATAGGTGATTGTGGAGCAACGTTGCATAACAGACCGGTGGAGAAAAGAGGTGCGTTCATCCGTAAGAAAGAAAGGCATCCGCAGTATGCCAGTACGCAGTATCGACATTTCGCTGCCGCGCAACCATCACCAGTCGCAAGTGGGCTACGGATACTGCGACGGTCGCCCTGCCCCTACGCAGGATCGAAACCGACCCCTTCGGATAACAAAACAGGCCTATGATCCTTAACGCTACAGGCCGGTGTTCGTCCGTAGGTGAAACACGACTTAATTTCACAAAACGGCCAGAGTGCAATGCCTGAGTAGGGAAAGGCACGTCGGAAATGAAAGCAAACACAGACACCTGTTGACAAATCGACACAACCGAGGAAATGTGCACCAGAGTGGAGCAGCCAAACGTGAAGAGCCGTAAGCCAACAAAGCAACAGTACTTACTGCCTTGCATTCTCTCTGATGTGCTGCTCCCGAAGTATCCTCTCTTGTGTTTTTCGCTGGATATCTTCATTCAATTTCCGTAAGACACGTTCTTTAGCTTTCTGCTGCGACTGCGACAATAGATATCAGGTAATGAGGAGGCAATCAAAAATATCTGAGTGATAGCAAATTTAGCAAAGGGAGAAGTGGAGCAGATGAACAAGATAAACTTTTGGAGCCTAGCGGAAAAGACCAGCCAACTAAGACAAGACAATTTGTTTGGATCTGACCAGGGGCGGGGGCAAGCGCTGCAGTGAAAGCGCGCCGTTTCAAACCTGTACAGTGATACTTAGAATCTGTGAGCTATGTGTCAATTAGGTACAACAAAGAGAATAAGTGTGGAAAGACAGCCGATGATAGAAAGTTTGTCTTGTGGCTCGGGGAGGTCGCTGGTTCAAGTCCGCGTAGGTGTAGGCAACCTCGCGGTATACCCGGCTTACGTACGGCAAGTGGTGGTGATCGCGTGGCAATAAGCCGTCGACGTTATGCTGACGCCTAATAGGCGTGGAAAGCAGCATTCCAAGAATCCCCCTTATATCCAGGGTTTAGGAAGTGTTAAAATGTGAATTTTACCGAGCAGTGTCCAATGGCAAATGATCAAAGGTGTTGAATTTCTGGCCAATAACAAACAGCATAAATACTAGTAAGTTTGAAGAAATTAAGAGGATGTTATAACACTTGTTTGCCAATGTGAGCGATGAAGATTCGCTAAACACTAAGATCCCTGATCAATACATGAGCATTGGCCTTACCGTGATATTATACACCCTACCTTTTACCAACAGGTTAATATCCATCTGTCTCATTTGGAAAGCATCACAGGTCCCAGCTGCTACGCGAAGTAATCTCCTCAGTTATGTGACCACCAGAAGTGACACAGCTACCAAGGCACGTGAACCGATACAGCATTGAGACAAAGACTAGTTAAGAGCAAGTAGAAAGGTTCATGTGCAACTCTAACGAGTAATAAAAAATCAAAAACATTTAGTTGTGAATCGTCAACGGTTGTGTTTAGTCTGTCAATCGTTTATCCTTGTTCGGTTTGGAATTTGTGCTGGTGTCATTATTTCCGGGTATACGATGTCTTCTTTTGGCACTGTATGTGCACCGTTTCACAAAAGCACATGTTTCCAAAGTAATCGTCGATACGTGTTTTAAAACACTTCACCGAATCGGCTTCTATTAGTCCCTCTGATAGTGTATTCCATAAATTTACGATTCTTCGTTCTATACAAAGCTGATGTGATACTTTGTTCACGCAAATGACTCTGAGTTTGTAACGGTGTCCTCGGGTGTTACAGGGTTCCCCCAGGTGAAATATTAGCCGCAGTATGAGGAAGTGATTCAAGTGTAGCACTCGATGGGTAATAATAAGGTCAATTCTTATCCGGCGGTAGGATAGTGCGTAGAGTCCGAGCCTTCCACAACGTTTTTCATACGGAAGCTTTCGTAGATGCGGTATCATTCTAGTTCCGATTTGCTGTAATTTCTCAGGCTTTTCAGTTCCCCACTAGGTTATCGGATAGTATGCTGGGGAACCGTATTCAAGGATTGGTCTAATGGGCGAGGTGAATAAACAAGGGACGGTTTCTTCGAACCATGTAGAAAAACTGCGTCTTAATGCCCAGAGCATTCGGAGTCCCACAGACACAATTTCTCTGCATTTTTTAAATAACAATAACAATAACAATGATAATAATGTGTCAGCTGTACGCCGTAACGGCGCTTCGCTGCCGCGCCACCACCACCAGTCGCGCGCGGTCTGAGTATACCGTGAGGATGCCCACTCCTACGCGAATTCGAACCGGTGACCTTATGGTTGCAAACCAAACGCGCAGACCACTCGGCCACCGGCCGGGCTATATTTTCTAGTGATCTCATATCATGTCGCGAGAGAACTCCTAAATCTCTGACAGATGTGTTAGAGTGGATCAACTGGCCGTCCAAAGTGTATGATCGAGTGGCTGGACGTCTGATGACACTGATGAACTCCGACTTGCTTGCGTTAAGAGGGAGTTGCATTTGAGTGGACAATGTTGACAGTCGCTCTAAGTCATGCTAGAGACGAGCGCAGTCGTCCTGGTTCTCAATGATCCTCCAGATTTTCAAATCATCTGCACAGGGCACATGGTGACTTTAGCTGCTGCGGAAGATCGTTGGTATGAATAAGAAATAATACTGGTCCAAGTACAGTTCATTGAGGCATGCCACTGGCCGATAGGAGTCTGTCTGTCAGGTGGTCATTGAAGTGCACTCTAAACCGTCGTCCCGCAATAAACTCGCATAACCACTGAAGGAACGTGCCACCAATTCCGTATGTCCTCAGTTTACCAATAGTACCTCGTGGTTCACTCTGTCAAACGCCTTACTAAAGTCAGTGTACACCACGTCAACATCCTTTCGTTTGCTGAGAGCTCGTACCCACTGGTGGCTTGGGTACATCAAGTTGGTGATGCAGGATCCCTTTTTCGTAACGCCGTGTTACGCTGACGTCAATACGTCCATCGATTCGAAGAACGACAGCAGATACTTTTCCACAAGCTTCTCGAGAACCTTGGATACTATCGAAGTCAAACAGATCGGTCTATAGTTCTCTATATTACTCAGGTCACTACCTTTGGGAAGTGGTGCCACTATCAAGCATTTCCAATCGTTGGGGACAGATCCTTCAGGTAGTGATTAATTAAATAGGTTTGGCACGGCTGGTGAGGCGAGAATCGATAGGGACTTGAGTATTAGTTGATGAAGTCAGTCTGGTCCGGGGGGCTTTGCACCATCGAGGTTGATGAGTAGCTGATACACTTCAACTGCATCCCATTGTACGCTGTCGAGCAAGACTGGCGCAACCTGTGTCAGTACTGGAACAGCCACCGGCTTACTGGTAAGTACGGTGAGGAAGTGCGCTTGAAATGAGCGTCTGTCTGTCTAAGCTCTCTAAAACCGGTAGGTGGCTCCCAGGTTTCAGTTGACGATGGAAGTAGGCAAATATTCTCTTGGGTGAAGTTGTGGCTGAGGATACCAGCTCCTCTTCGAACAGTCGGCGTTTCTTGATCTTTGCGGCGTTACATAAGTCACGCTGTTTGTTGTACACCGTGTAATCTTCATCACAACCAGAGCTGATGTATACCCGAAAGTTTGCAACGCCGTCGCGCTAACTGTCTATATTCCGTATCAAACCAATGCGGTTTGACAGATCCGAATTTTGAATACTTCCGGAAAACGAACTGAGTACACAGCGAGTTAAGCTCCCCCTTCCTTAATGACCAATAAGCCTCAAGCGACGCATCCTGTGGTAGTGTCCAATCAGTCTGACTTGCGGCTTGGACGAGTCAGTTGAAGTCCATCTTCCAATAGCTGAATCTCGACTTCCGTTAGTTGTAATACGGTAACGACAGTTCTATGCTTGCCACAATGGAGCAGTGGTCACTGCTCGCCAGAGATTCGATGACTGATCTCGTTCAGCTTCTGCTCGCAGCTCGTAAACATTAGGTCCAGACAAGATGGCGAGTGCGGAGTTACGCGCATCGGTTGGATGACATGTTGAGTTGCCCCAATTTCAACAGTCATTTTAGCGAATTGTGCATCAATGTTGCCATGACCGGGAAGAAGTCGAACATCTGGCCAAATTATCTTAGGTAAATTTAGATGCCCCATCGGTAAGAAGTGAGGGCGGCTCATGTGCTTCTGTACATGTGGTAGCCCATCACAACAACGGTTTAATGGGCTACGGTAGATAACCCCCACTATTAGTTCTGCACGTCTGAGGTGGATTGTGCACCACAAAAATTCGCATTAACTATCCTCGCTCCGATAGGTGCTGGTAAGTTGGCCAGATAGTGATGATTTGATGTACAGCAGAACACCACCGTGAGTCTTAGATTTTCGGTCGCATCGGAAACAACAGTATCCTGACAATGTGACTTCCTGAGGTATGACCTCGGAGTTCAACCAAGTCTTTGCAAGTCGAAAAAGTCGGACTGCTCCGAGTTAGTGCAGAGGCAAAGTTTATCACGCTTGTTCATTAGGCTGCACATGTTGGTGAATGCCACACGGAGGTCTCGGGAGGTACTGCGGGATGTGCCCGGAGGTTGAGCAACCGGTTGATACAGGTTCGTACACCCTTCTTGATTCACCCAGCAAAGTTCGTCTTGCGATTCGACATTTGAAATGATTCAAAGCTGCCGGCTCAGACGGATTTCCTCCAAAAGCGCCGCTATCATCACTCATCTAACCTCATTGTTCCTCAAAATCTGGCAAGGTGTCTTCTCCATGGAGCAAATCAGTTATCGTCGCACTTCATGTGCTAAGCACCGGGGGAGCAGTATCATTTCAGTTGCTTCCAAGTTAGTAGCACTTATTCTACTTCGTAGATTATCCCTGGTTCGTAAATCGCAGTACCGGTAGGAACAAGTTAGCTTCCGTTCTGTCCATGAGTATGTGAACCAAATATACACGCTCGGTCAAATCCTCGAACACCGCCACTTCTACCATAGGCTTGTTATCGTTGCATTCGACTGGGTTGATCGAACTGCACTATGGCGCTGCTTGCCAAGGAACGCGGTTCTCGGAAAGTATACTACCATCCTGCGCACACCTTACCTTCACATCCAAGGTAGAGTGAGGGACTATGGCATGCCTACTGCACCCTTCGTTGTCAAATGCGATGAACAGGGTTGCACAAGGTTCCCGTTCCTATTCAATTTCGTAATGGAAGACGTCCTGTCGAGAGTTTGGAAGGATTAGCAACATTTCGGACGGTAACTATTACGGGGCAAACAAGCGACCGACTTATATTATGTTAATGAGATCGCCTTACTTGGTGACGACCTGCGGAGTATAAAAACGGTTTGGCGGTATGTGCTACGCCAGGTCAAAATGCAAAAGTGCTGCTCCAAGATTGGTCGATCAGGTGCTAACCCTTGGAGGCGCACAATTTGAACATATTGCTAGCTGCGTGTTTACTGGTGGTACTATCAGCAAGGAAATTTCTCTTTGCGTCGTCAAAACACGATCCGCATTTGTCAAGCCGCAAAACTTGTGGCACCGTAGAGATCTCCCCGTCTTGGTAACG